GTCACAACCGAGATGTCCGAGATGAGCCCGGATGCCCTGGAGGCCACAGGCAGCCTGCTCTGCTGGCCCCGCCCAGGATGGAGGAGGCTGGCCCAGTGGCCCTGCGGTGCCCCACCAGCCCCCAGGTTCACAGCTGGCGAGCCGCACCCCCAGCTCCCCGCCCGGCCCAGCTCCAGAGAGAGGCTTTGTCTCCGATGCTATGACCACTGAGCGTGGTCCTCCTCCCGCCGGCCCGGGAGCTGCCATGGCCGAGGCCACAACTGGCACCAGGAAGGCAGGGTCCTTCCTCCCCCCGGCGGCTTCACCACCCCCGCCCTGGCCCAGGGGCCTCACACCACCACCCACCGTGGGGGAAGCCAAGACCCAGAGGATGTGGGTGACCCAGCAGCAGGGTGCTGACTGCTGCCCCCTGGCGGCCACCAGCAGAAGCAGGCCTGTGCACTCCGAGGCCCCAGGTCTCCCCCAGGTCATGGCCACCGCACACTGGTGAGCGCAGGCCCTGAAGGCCCAGGTCCCCTGACGGGTCCGCGGCCAGCAGCCTGCATGCCCGCCCAGCTCACATGGGGCGGGGGCCCGCCCAGCTCCCTGAAGCAACAGGGTTACCGCACAGCCTGGTCTGGTCCGTCCCAGGAGAGCTGCTGGGAAACCGCACTCAAGCCCCCCAAGACCTGCCTCCTCCCAGAAAGCTCAAACCCAGGCCCCGCACACATTTCAGGGGCCAGTGCCTGCCTGGCGGGGGTGGGGCAGCACAGGCAGGCGCTGGTCTCCTCTCCTTGGACTTGGTCCCCCGTCTGAGGGTGGGAACAAGCCTCCCCAAAACAGCCCAGCCCCCAAGCCCATGCAGAAGCCCAGGCCCTCCAGGCCCTGATTTTTAGGGATAACGCACTCTCCTCCCCACCCAGAAGGCACCCAAGTCCCGGGGCCGCTGGCTCACACGAGGGCTTCTCCAGCCCCCCCAGCGACACCTTCCTCACCACCCGCAACCCCGAACCTGCTGGGGCACACCCTCCAGACACCCCACTCAGGCCCAGGAAGTGGCAGAGGCCCCGACCCCAGCTGAGCAGGGTGGCTCAGGGGGCGCCTCGAGACCCAGGTCCCTGGAGCCTGCGGAGCATCGCCCATCCTCCCTGGGGGCACCGGGGCCTCTCCTGACTCCCTCCCCGAGCCCCCCTCTTACACTTCAGCCCGGGCACGTCTGCCACCTGCGTGACCAACGAGAGGCTGCCCGCCCAGGGGGACAAAGTGCCCTGCGGGCAGAGCTGGGCCTCTGGTCACAGCGATTCCCCCGGCATTTGTTCCTAAGCAGCGAGGCTGTCATTCCCACAGGCCTGGCACCAGGACAGGGGCCGGCACCGGGAAGGGGCCACCCATCTGCCCCCAGGGGCCTTGGTGCCTCAGAGCCCTGCACCGGCCTCAACCCCAAGGCAGCTCACACCAGGCAGGAGCGGGTCCAGGCAGCAGGAGCAGCGGAGCTCCTCAACGTTTATTGCAAGAGAATGGCAGCAGCGCCGGGGCAGGGGCACCCGCTCACTTGCCCCTGAGGTAGATCTTGGGGGTCTGCCAGCCGGGAGGGGCTTCCTTCAGGCCCGCCTTCAGCCAGATGCGCTTCAGGTCTTTCTCGAACCTCACCTGCGAGGGCAGAGCGAGGGGACCGCTGGCCGGTGTGTGGCCACGCCCTTGGCCACCCTGCCCCGCTCCAGGCCCCCGGGACCCACACGTACCTGCTTCCGTTTCAGGCGCCCTTCCCGGACCCTCCGCCGCAGAAACCGGGTCCTCTTGACCAGCTTGCGGTACTTGTGATGGTTCATCTTCCGCCGGCGGATCTTCAGCACGTTTTTGCACTGAATCTGGGGTGCATCCTGCACCTCCTCACGCCCCTGCTCAGCTCCTCCCCCCACCTGGCCAGGCGGACACTCGTAGGCCTGGGCCGGAGCCACAGCCCCTGGGACCCCAGCATCCAGTCTGGGCAGGAGGTAGTGGGCGGTCAGCCAGCTCTCCAGGGGACTGATGGACATCTTCCTGGGGACCAGCATCTCCTCGAGCTCCAGCTGGACCCCCTTGCCCGGGAGGATGGCAACCCCACTCGGGCCTGCTGGTTGCGTGCTGTAGCGGGGCCTGCAGGCATGGCTGCCCGGCACCCCTGAGACGCGCCCGGGCCCACGGAGGCCTGCAGGAAACACGACGCCAGTCACCACCCATCGGTCTGCACTAGCCTGCGCTCGGCCGGCGGACCTGCCATGACTTGGGAACAGAAGCGCCATCACAGCCTGGGATGGCCTTAGTCCTGGTCGGAGCCCCTGCTGATGCTCTGGGGGAGAGGCGGACTCCCCCTTTGTGATACTGGGGTGTTTGCAGGGCAGTTGGCGTGACCAGGCCCTGGCCTCCGGATGGTGAGGCACATGCTCCTAACCCGGCTGCGTCCTGCCCGTCTGGCCCCTCGGGAGCGCTTACCTGCCCGGGGCGCGACCCGCAGCAGCTGAGACGTCAGACGCGCCAGGAACATGGTCTGCGGGTGGCGGCCCAGGTGCTCAGCGGAGCTGGAACACAGGTGCGCGCTGAGGTCAAGGGGGCGCCGGCGGCGCGCGAAGCACGGGGATGGCGGGACTGGGGCTGCCGTCCTGCTCGCCCCGGCACCCCGCCACCTCCTCGCCCACAACCCCCGGGAGGACCCCGCTCCCTCCCGCCAGGGACCCGCCTCCCACCA